GGTGAAATACTTTAGTCGCTCATTGTATGTTTAACACCTGTAAAAGGGGAGTTCAGGCACTGGATTAACCATAACGGCGACGGGAACTTCCCAAAAGAAAAGAATTATTTAGCAGTACAATGGCTCTCCACGCGCGTTTAAAATCTTGGCAGATGTCTGCCGCTCTCTCTTCAACTGCAAGTCAAAAGAGACTCTGCTTCGACTGATAACACGAGCCACAACGGCAAATATTGTAAGTTACGTTTTCATATTAAACGCTGTCTCACAAGCTCAGTTTTTAAGATAGCTTTGACAATCAGAAGACAAACTGAATGAGTCTTAAGTATCCAGAATTGCAGGTAAAATATAACTCCGTTTTTAATCGACTTTTTCCTCGGCGTCACCTTGATACTTGCTTAAACTCCCTTCTCTATGTCAAGCCAAACGGAAAGAGGCGGTATAGACAGTCCCTTGGGGCAAGCTCGATCACTACGGTACCAAAGCCAAGAACATTATAACAAAACACCTTAAAAAAATTGAAATTAGCTTCTGGATAGGGACCAGGCATAAACATTTACCTTCAAGTGGGCAGTCAGCTCATCTACTTCTATGTCGAGCCGTGCACAAACGATTCTTTGTTAAAGAAACCTTGTTTTACAACTGAGATATTAAGTCCTAAATAATTGGACAGGATACCGTTATTATTAGCCTTAGTACAAGTACATATACAAGCAATTGTTTACGCTAAAGTAGTACACGAATAAATTGAAAGAATTAAAGGTAAGCTTTGCTTATTTGAAGTCCGGTGCTCTATACTTCTCTCTTTTTCTTAAACTGGAAACAAGTTAAATTCAGGCCTGACTGTTTTTTTCAGGCTTAAATTTCAAAGCTGCTTAAGTTGTGGACATAACTGGGATGATTAATCATGTCTTCATATCTTGCTCCTCGGTTCCAACACATATGATCTTTCATATATTCACTTGTATCTTCGCCGTCTACAGGTATATTACGAACTCACAAAGTGGCCAGCTCCCAGTTGGCTTGATAGCTCAGTTGNCCACAACGGCAAATATTGTAAGTTACGTTTTCATATTAAACGCTGTCTCACAAGCTCAGTTTTTAAGATAGCTTTGACAATCAGTAGACAAACTGAATGAGTCTTAAGTATCCAGAATTGTAGGTAAAATATAACTCCGTTTTTAATCGACTTTTTCCTCGGCGTCAACTTGATACTTGCTTAAACTCCCTTCTCTATGTCAAGCCAAACGGAAAGAGGCGGTATAGACAGTCCCTTGGGTCAAGCTCGATCACTACGGTACCAAAGCCAAGAACATTATAACAAAACACCTTTAAAAAGTTGAAATTAGCTTCTGGATAGGGACCAGGCATAAACATTTACCTTCAAGTGGGCAGTCAGGTCATCTACTTCTATGGCGAGCCGTGCACAAACGATTCTTTGTTTAAGAAACCTTGTTTTACAACTGAGATATTAAGTCCTAAATAATTGGACAGGATACCGTTATTATTAGCCTTAGTACAAGTACATATACAAGCAATTGTTTACGCTAAAGTAGTACACGAATAAATTGAAAGAATTAAAGGTAAGCTTTGCTTATTTGAAGTCCGGTGCTCTATACTTCTCTCTTTTTCTTAAACTGGAAACAAGTTAAATTCAGGCCTGACTGTTTTTTTCAGGCTTAAATTTCAAAGCTGCTTAAGTTGTGGACATAACTGGGATGATTAATCATGTCTTCATATCTTGCTCCTCGGTTCCAACACATATGATCTTTCATATATTCACTTGTATCTTCGCCGTCTACAGGTATATTACGAACTCACAAAGTGGCCAGCTCCCAGTTGGCTTGATAGCTCAGTTG